TGCTCGGGAACCTCCAAAGCTTCCATAATGGTTTTGGACCCCAGGGCCGCAATCAAATCATGCATGGCCTCAGGGGGGAGCCCCGAAGCCTGAACCAGTTGAGCGATTATTTCGTCCGAAACGTCGCCTTCGGAGTTGAAGCGAACCACGAGCTCCCGAACAACTCGGTGGAACGCCGCCTCGAGGCCGATAAACAACAGCCCCAAACTGGTTGATCTCTTAACTGCAAGTTTCTGCAAGGAGCGGGTGAAGTGAGACGCAAAATCCGCACCGCGGTGTCCAATGCCGCCGTGCTGAGAATCAGCAGCGTACTTCTCCAGAAAGGTTGCAGCCTAGAGATTAAAGTGGCGCGCGGTATTTTGGCGATCTGTGGTCCATCAGCAATGGCTCGACAAAACTTGCATTCCTGGCGGGGACCCTTGCCCTTGTAGATCTCGTGGAGCATAGAGCTTCTCCATTGAAGAGGTTCCCGAAGGCCCAATGAATACTCAAGTAACAGCGGGCAATACACCTTAGCACAAACTTGAGAACCATATTCCAGGAGGGCCCCCGCGACCCCGTCGAACCCATTCGCGCGCAGGGGGGGGGGGTCTTCAGCAACTCTTGCTCGAACTCGACCCTGATGGGGATCAGGTGAACAGCCTGGTCCTGGATGTTGAAGATGGGGATCTCGGATTCCTGAACAAGGGAGAGGATGTCCTGGGCGGGAACTTGGGTACCCAGCTCCTGGTCCGAGAAGTGCTCGAGCCACCTGCGTCGAGCGCCGCTAGCCGTTTGTGCCATGGTGCCGTCCTTCGGTAGGGCAATCGCCAGTTGAGACGTCTTCCTTCTTTTGGCGGAACCTCTCCCAATGCGGCGAAGGGCAGTGCAAACATCTCTGGACTGCTTAACTGAAAATGCACACGTAACCGCAGCAGTCACATGCGAGATGTGGGCAGCCTTGTCCTTGGCACATTCCCACGCGACAAGCCTGGCCGCGCACTGCACCATAGTTTGGGACATAAGTTGGATCGCACGATCCAGTCGAGCCCGTCGAGCCAGACCGACCAAGCAATCGGAGAGGCTCAGGTTGGAGGCCCCTTGCCCCAGCGCGCCACCCTTCAGAAGAAGTAGGTGCATACTGGAAACAATCAGATTGTCGAACGCAAGCCCCTGGAACCTCAAGTCGACCTGAGCCCCTGGGATGGTCCTGAAAGCACAAACAACAGAGTCAATGTCTTCAGCCAGGCCCTGGATATCCCAAACCAGACCGTGGAGCTTCTTGGCCAGGGAGGTGCAACCCGCATGGGAACGGATCCGCAGGCGGCCCCAGATCCCCTGGTGAGCGACAGGGGGGGCGGTCCTGGGCCTGGTCCTGGAGACCGCAAGGGGGTTGGTTCTCTCTGTCAGAACGATTGGGGTCTTGAGTACCTCCTCCATCCGGGCATCCCTGGGGAGAGGGGGCAACAGGATGCGAAGGCCTGACATCGGCCCAAGCGGAGAAGACCAAGGCGCGGAGGACCCATTGGGCCCGTCGGTTCAGAGACCTGATGCGGCCTAGGAGGGCAATTCGGAGATCAAGCTGGCACAGGGTGCCTTGGCGAAGCCACTCTTCCCCACCTTTTTTTGTCTGGCTGGAGGTGGCTGACCGCAAACTGCGCGGGCTGGCTGTCGAGGGCGGCGCGCTGGATCGTTGGAGACGCGTGCCGCGGCGTGCTCGAGAGAGTCCTTGAAAATTCTTGGAAGGTCTTACGAACGGTGGGGTCCTGAAGGCGCTTGGGGTCGATGATCGGTTTCTTCCCGTCGAAAATGGGGGGTGTTCGTGTCCGCGGGAAGAAGATAGTCGAGCGACGCACGCGCGTGGTCGTGTACGGCGTTCGCGAGGTCAACTCCACGGTCAACCTTCGCCTCAGAGGCCCCCCATCAAAAGCTCCCTAGGAACCAAGATAAAGTCGATGCGTTTAGAGACCTTGCCGTCAGAACTGGCCCAGGTTTTCCCAGAGTCCCCCACAGGGGGGGGGGGGGGCTAAAGAAGGCGGCGGGGATGCAGAAATCGAGCTCGAAACAAAACCTATGTAGGTATTCACCCGGGAGGTCCTCGTTATCAGCCTGAACTCTCCCAACATGAGGATTGGTATTCGAGCCAATTTCAGCATTGGCGTCGATGCATGAAGCCACAACGTGCCCACCGTCGACGAGGGGCTGTAGGATAGCCTGGGATTGGGTCCACCAATTCTCCAGGGCATTGGGCTCCTTCATTGCCTCGTCGGGCCCGTGGCCCGCAAAGATGAAGCATCTGGCGTCTGGAAGCTGCACGGACTAGAGAAGACGTGTCGGCGCTGAGTGTGTGATAACCACTTGTTGTTTGGAGAGTGGTGGTTTACCCTCCCCCAGAAGCTGGTCCACGTTGACCCAAATAGCGACACCGTCCTTACCATCTTCAGTGCAAGCAGCATAATAGACAGCGAAATCACCAACCCGGCTAGGCATGCGGGAAGGGAGACGGGTCTCGACGGTCGCGACAATGTGATAACTAGTTTTCGAAACTTGTTAAGCCAACATGTTGAGTCTGCCTGGCGCATTGAGTTCAATAAGCTCTTGCGTCCTGGCCGACATTCGTTTCCTATTGGTCCTGGTCCACCTGTCGGTATTCCTCCTAAGGGTAAGCGCACTAGCCAGGCCCACTTTGATAGTAAGACTGGAGGGCCCTTCAAGGACACCAGATCTGGGACCTCGAGGCCCTGGAAGCTGACGAAACCTCCAAGAATGTCTTTCGTAGCGCATCGTCCAGCGAACATATCAGGAACCTCCAGGAAATTGTCCTCGGAAATTCGGGGGAGCGGAGCCTCAGGGGATTGTGCGGCTAGGCCTTGCTCATGCATCCAAATCCACGAAATTAGGGTAGCATCAAATAGATACTTCGCGAAAGGCATGTAGGGATGAGAAAATGAAGAGAATGAGGAGGAAAACGACGACAATGACGCGACGACCGTGGTTGCTTTTTCTTAACTTATCTTAGAACATGCAGTCGTGCATTTCCTTACAATTCAACCTGCCATCTGTAACCTGTCAGCTGCGACATGATGATGACGACGATGATGATGCTGATGACGATGCTGATGACGAGGACGAACAGGAAGTGCTTACTACCAGAGTCCTGAACAGTGTGGGTTCTGGTGAACACGTCTTATACATCCGCCACCGTGCCTTGATGCACGAATTGGAGTGTCCTTAGTTCCATGGGCTAGTCCCTCAGTCCCAGTCCTCGATCCCGATGATTGCTGAAGGGGGCACGATCCCGAATTGACGAATCTTCTTGGGTTCCCGACTTTTTCTCGCGTGATTTCGGGCCCAAGAGGGCCCCACGACGGGCCAAGAGTACCACAAGAGGCCCCCAAGACGGCCCAAGAGGGCCCGAATCGCGACACAATCGGTCCAAGACGGCCAAGAGGCGCCCAAAGACAGCCCCAAGAGCCTTCTCGAGAGGGCCCTGAGAGGCCCAAACCACTCATGTCCTTTGAATGTTTCAAATCTGCGTGCGTGGGGGATCCTCGAATTTCCGAGCTTCCAACGCTTCAAGACGGCCTAGGAGGCCCCGAAGACCGCCCCAAGACGGCCCAAGAGACCCCGAAGACCGCCCCAAGACGGCCCAAGAGGGCTCCAAGACGGCCCCAAGGGCGCCCAAAACGGTTCAAGAGAGCCCATGACAGCTCCAAGAAGGGCCCAAGAGGGGAAACACGAACTGAAAGTCCAAGTCCTCCGGCCTGGAAGGCCCCCAAGCGGCTCAAAGGAGGCCCCAAGAGGTCCCCCGGGCAAGAGGCTCCAAGAGGCCCCCAACAGGCCCCGAAGACGCCCCAAGATGCGCCAAAACGGCCCTCAAGAAGCCTCAAGACGGCCCCTAAGAGGCCCCGGAGAGGCCTCCCACGACATCACAGCGAACATTCTAGAGCCCTATGACCCAGAACCACCCACAACCCAGGCATGGTGGCGGGATGGGCCGAAGGCCATTGTACGTATCTGCCACCGTCCCTTTGGCACGAAGTGGAGTGCCCCAAGGCTCACGCAGCACTGAGAGGTAGAGGTTGTGCTGCTGCTGCAGCCAGAATTGTGAGTCTTGCGAAACGCTCTCCCGCAAAGCCAGGCCGAAAACTGTCGCATAAGAGCCTACGGGGGGGAAGGGGGTCCCGCCCGGTGACTCCCTGATCGTCAGTGCTCAAGATGAACAACTTTCGCAACGGGTAAGTTTGCTGTGGCGAAACGAAGAGAACCAACAATACCTTGTGTATATTGTATACGTATGTGTATGTATGTCTGTCTGTATGTATGTATGTGTGTATGTATCTATGTATGTATATATGTATACACAGGCGTAACAGACTTTCGAGTATGGTGAACACGTCTTGTATTTGCGTACATTAAACAGCGTGTTTTGCGCTACGTTTGGAACAACTTAAACAACAGCTAAGGCTGGGCGGCGGCGTCGCCGCGCTGCCGCAGGCGCAAGGCCCGCCGTCGCCGCGGGCCGCCGCGGGCCCCGCGCCTCCGTCACCGGAGGTCGGTGTGCGCGCCTCGCGGCTGCGCGCCGCGGCGGCGCGGCCCCCTTCCAAGGAGCACGTGGCGCGTGAGGTTTGCTGGGCCTCGCAGACGGGGTCCGAGCCTCGCAAGGTTTCGATCGTTTTCGGAAGCGTCAGCGTTTTCGACCACTTTCGGATGTCCTCGGGAGTTTTCGGGCCCTGGCGTGGTTTCCAGCGGCTGCGCCTCATCGGGGACGTTTAGGGTGTGCCCGGATTGTCCGAACAGCCGCCGAGACCCGAGCTACGACCCAGAAACCAGACGACGAGCCAGTCAGAATACATGGGGTCGGAGGATCGCGCCGCATCGCCGATGCGGCGGCGATGCGGCGGCGATGCGGCCCGATGTGGGGCCTGATTCTCTCTACGCCGACCGCGCCGACACATCGCCGATGCATCAGCGATGCGGCGCGATCCTCCGGCCCCATTGCTTGGACCCCACCTGGGGAGCCTCCAGGACCGCCCCACCGCCCCCGAGGACGCAGAGAGCGGAGGGTGCCGCACCGCGTTCGGCGACGGCTCTCAGCCATTGGCGCAGCGGCCCCGCTCGTGGAGCCCCATGCGGTCGGAGAGCCAGCTCCAGCTGGGCGTCCCGAAGCCGCCCGTTGCGATGAAGTCTCTCTTCGACATGAGCGGCAAGGACATACTCGAGAGCGGCAGGTTTGAGACCTTCATGGGGATCGTCATCGCCCTGAACGCGGCCTTGATCGGATTCGAGGTCGATTGGCAGGCTCGGCGCGTCACTCAGGACATGCCACAGATGTTCGGCTCGACAGCGTTGTACCGGTTCATGGACCTCACTTTCTTCGTCATATTCCTGGCGGAGCTGATGCTGAAGCTCTACGTGCACCGGGTGCAGTTCCTGACGAAAAGGGAGATTTCGGTGTTGTGGAATTGGTTCGACTTCCTGATCGTCTTGATGCAGGTCCTCGAGGAGGCGTTCACCCTGCTGACGGGCTTTTTTAGGTCTCAGCGGCGAGCCCAGGGGAAAAGTGAGAGGGGCAGGCCTTCTCAGAAGGCGGCGGGGCTTCTCAGAAGCCCTCGCGCCTTCTGAGAAGCTGTCTGCGGCGTCAGAGAAAGCTTACAGGGCTTGTCAGAAGACACGAGGGCTTCTGAGAAGCCCCATCTCACTTCCCCCTGGACTCGCCGCCGAAGGTCAGACGTCGACCTGAGCAGCGTGAGGCTCCTCAGGGTGGTCCGGGTGCTCAAGGTGCTGCGCATCATACGCTTCATAGACATGTTCGCCGAGCTGCGCAGGATCGTCACCTCGATCATTGGCTCCCTCAAGTCGCTCGGGTGGACCATTGGAAGAACAAACAACGGCATTAACATACGGTAGGGGCGTTCTTTCAGGAATGTGCCCAGGAGGCTTCAGACCCTGGAGGATTCCTCCTCTAATGACGGCGGCGGTGACATCCATGGCCAAGCCTCAATTGGTACTCCACTGGCTTACAGACCTTGTATTCTTTATCCACTGGTTCCTTATCAAATGCCCTCACCGTAAACTATCGGAGCTCCTCCCGGAGATCTTGGATTTGTGCTGGGCCCCCCTGACGGCATCTCCGGCGCCTCCCCTCACGCGCTCCGCGCGCCAGAGGGAGGCTCAGCACAGATCCAGGAAATCCGCGCGGAGCTCTGAAAGCTCATGCTTACGCTCTGCGTTTGAAATATGGCGTGCGACGTGGTGCCGCCAGCCCGCTTAATACACCCTTAGGGTGGATTAAGCGGTCGGATAGTATAGCATCCCCTCACACAGCCTTAACACACCTTAAATGCAGCCCTAATGCAGCCTTCTACATAATACTACGGCCTTAAAGATGGTACACCCTCATACAGCCAGCCTTATTACACCTTCATGCACCCTTAGGATAAGATCCCCCACCTTCGGGGTAGCGTGCACAGAGGGGGGCCCTCGCAGAGGGGTCACCTCACAGGCATAGCCTAGCGTGCTTTTCGGAGATCGATGTTGCACGCTGTCTTTCCAACGACCTCCGTGTCCCGTTCTTTCTTCTTCTAACCATGGCCCTGCTGTTCCTCTTGATGTACATCGTGGGCATCTTCTTCGTCCAGCAGATCACGACCCACATGGCGGACCTCACCGACTCCACCGAGGAGGCGCTCACTGAGAGGGAGCTGCGGATGAGGAATTACTTCGGGTCCTTGCCAGACGCCTGGCTCTCCCTGTGGAAGGCGATATCGGGCGGCATCGACTGGGACGTCCTGGCCGAGCCGCTGGAGAAGGATCTGGGGCTCCTGCTGGGCTGGGCCTTCGCGGCCTACATTGCCTTCTCGCTGCTGGCGGTCATGAATGTCGTTACTGGCGTAGCAAGTTGGGCTGCCGCGCAAATCCTCCGCCGCGCTCGCCAGGGACGGCTGGATGAGACGAGGGATGGAGGCGGAGGAGGCGGGGGGACAGGGGGGAGCTATTGAAGGTGCTACTCCGTTGTTCGATGGTTCGATGGTGGCATGCTTATATGCCCTGATGGAAAAGGCGCAGGTGCATTGCACACACACACACACCATGAGGGAGTATGGAGTAGAGAAGTTATTCCATACATAACCTCTTCTGTCGGGGCTTTCTATAATTCAATCGCTTCGCTCACTCCGCCGGCGTATGTAGTAGCATCGTTGGCACCTGCCTGCGTGCTCGCAGGGATACTTTAGGGGACATCGTGGAGCCTCTTGGGAGTCCCTTGAAACCTTTTTTGGAGGGTTGTGGAGCTTCTGGAGGCCCTTTGGGTGCCTTCTGGTAGTCTCGTAGGCCACCTTTGGGGGAAGGGATCGAATCTCAATTCGTGTCCCCCCTCTTGGGCCTCTCCTGGGGGCCTCTGGAGCCCTCTCGGGGGCCCCTTGGGCCATCATGGGGCCCTCTTGGACCGCCTTGGGGCCCTTTTGGAAGCCTCTTAGGCTGTTGGGGTTCTTGGGTGGCTATTTGGCCATCTTGTCGCATCAGAAGGCCGAAGAACGAGAACATCGAAATACTTGAGAAGCCGAAGATTTCATGATTTGGGCCTCTCGGGGCCTCCTTGGGAACGCTCTGGAGGCGGTTGAGAGTCTTCTTGGACCGTAGAGAAGCCATAGTGACGTATTGGAGCGCTCTTGGATAGTGTCGGACCCGTGGGCTCTCTTGCAGGCCCCGTGGAGCGCTCCTGGAGCGCTGTGACGGGTGTGAAGGCAGCGACCGTACCGAAAACCATCTCTGATCCAGGCGCGGCGCAGGAAGTCCGGGGTAATTACCTGTCATCCGGGGACTTCCACGGGGCTCCCCGCGCGCGCGATTTGGCCATCTACGGGCACCCGGCCCAGAACCTCTCGATGGCGATCTTAGCAGGGTTTTGGCCCGTGGGACCGTGATTCAGAATCCGTGGGGTGCCCTGATATATCCCGTGGCCTCCCCTTTTGCCCCCCCATGATTTGGAATCGCTCGGGCGCCTCGGTCTCCCGGCGTCTCCTGTTGCTTCCCGTCGTTCCCCAGTCCCACGTGGTCTCCCGGTAGCTCCCGTTGTCTCCCTTTGCGTGCCCTTGCCCCGCGGTCTTTCGTTGTCTCCCGATGTCTTTCGTGGTCTTACCGTTGTTTCTCTGGGTCCCGTGATCTTCCGTGGTCCCAATTTGTATTCCGTTTTCCACCCTTTCTTTCCAAGTGTCTCCCGTGGTCTCTCATTGTTTCCCGTTGTCTCGTGTTGTCTCCCCTTGTCTTCCGTGGTTTCCCGTTGTCTCCCGTCGCTTTTTGTTGTTTCCCAGTGTTGCCCGTTGTTTCCCATTGTGTCCCAATGCCTCTGGCTGTCTCCCGTTGTGTCCCGTTCTCTCCCGTGGTCCCTCGTTGTCTCCAATTTTCTCCTGGTCTTTCCCTCGTTTCCCTTTTTCTCCTGTTGTCTCCCGTTGTCTTCTGTTGGATCCCGATGCCCCCCGTAGTTGATTCCCGTTGTTTTCTGTTGTTTCACGCTGTCTCCCGTTGTTTCTCGTTGACTCCCGTAGTCTCTTGTTGTCTCCCGTTGTCTCCCGTGGTCCGCGGTTGTCTTCCGTCGTTTCCCATTGTCTCCCGTTGTGTCCCCTTGCCCCCCGCTGTGTCTCACGGTGTCTTCCATCGTCTCCCGTAGTCTCCCGTGGTATCCCATTGTTTTCCGTCCTGTTGGTTCCCGTGGTCTCCCGTCGTGTCCCGTTGTCTCCCGTTGTTCTCTCCTGTTGTCGTCTGTTTTTTCCCATTGTCCCCTGTTGTTTCCTTGTCTCCTGTTGTCTCCCGTGGGTCCCCGTTGTCTCCCGTTGTCTCCCGTTGTCTTCCGTTGTTTTCCGATGTCTCTCGTTGTCTCCCGTTGTCTCTCGTTGTTTGCTGTCGTCTCCCGTTGTCTCCCGTTACTTTCGGTTGTTTCCCAATGATTCCCGTTGTCTCCTACTGTGTCCTAGTGTCTCCCGTTGTCTCCAGTGGTGTCCTGTTCTCTCCCGTGGTCCCCCGTTGTCTCCCGTTGTCTTCCATTATTTCCTGCCGTCTCCACGTTTCTCCCGGTCGTTGTCCCTGCTGTCTCCCATTGTCTCCCGTTCTCTCCGGTAGTCTCTCGATGTCTCCCGTCGCCTCCGATTTATCGTGTGCGGCACTCTTGGAGTCGCCGTCTGCGCCACAGTATAACCCTTTTGGAGGCTATTCTGCAGCAAGGGTGGGCAGCGAGACAGGATTGCTATTTTGTAGCAATCGAAACTAACAACATATCAGTGCCCGACATGCTTGTGTGCCGACGCGGCGATGATGCGCAGTCACCAGGTTTCATTACTACGGGTCTTACTGGCAGCGAATTTTTTTTGTAAATTATCCTGGCGAAGGGCCCAACCAGATGCAGTTGTGCGTACCGCAACTGTGAGTATCTTCTTCGGTAGCGATCCCTAGGGGGCCACGACACGCCTGAGGGCTGTGCCGGGGCCTTCGGTGGAGCTCCCTGTAGGGCCACGAAACGTGCAATGAGTGTGCCGACATTGGTGCTGTGGGCGCATTGGAACGCAGCCACTGGGGCCTTCGGTGGAGCTCCTTGTGCGGCCACGAAAAGTGTGAGGGGGGTGTCGAACTGGGTGCAGTGGACCCATGCGAACGCAGCCACTGGGACCTTCGGTGGGGCTCCCTGTGGGGCCACGAAACGTTTGAGGGGTGTACCGACATGGGTGCTGTGGGCGCAAGCGAACGCAGCCACAGGGAGTTTCGGTGGAGTTCCCTGTGGGCCACGAAACGTGTGAGGGGTGTGCCGAGATGGGTGCGGTGGGCGCATGTGAACGCAACCAGTGGGGCCTTCGGTGGGGCTCCCTGTGGGGCCACGAAGCGTGTGAGGGGTGTGCCGAAATGTGTGCGGTGGGCGCGTGCCGAAATGGGTGCGGTGGGCGCATGTGAACGCAACCGCTGGGGCCTTCGGTGGGGCTCCTTGTGGGGCCACGAAACGTGTGAGGGGTGTGCCGAAACCGGTGCGGTGGGCGCATGCGAACGCAACCACTGCGGCCTGCGGTGGGCTCCTTGTGGGGCCACGAAACGTTTGAGGGGTGTGCCGACATGGGCGCGGTGGGCGCAAGCGAACGCAGCCATTGGGGCCTTCGGTGGAGCTCCCTGTGGCGCCACGAAACGTGTGAGGGGTGTGCCGGACTGGGGTCGGTGGGCGCATTCGAACGCAGCCACTGGGGCTTTCGGTGGAGCTCCCTGTGGGCCACGAAACGTGTGAGGGGTGTGCCGAAATGGGTGCGGTGGGCGCATTGAAGTGCAGCCACTGGGGC